GCAGATTTAGAAATAACAGCACGAGGGTTGGACCATTCAGTATTATTATTAGAAATCCGTTCCAAGATGTCATACCCCTTGTTATAGGTTTTAGCTGTGAAAGCGCCACCGGCCGTTGCGTCAAGAATAATTTTAGCRGCACTGGAAAGTCCATTATAAAAGGTTTCCAATTGAATACAATGAGGGATTCCATGATAAGGACACTTTCGTAGAAGGTCCTTGAATCTCTCCCATGCATCCGATACCGCTTCATCTTCTTCTTGACAAAACGTCATAATTTCATTTCTAATTTTTACATTCCTCGTCGAAGAAAAGTATTTTTTTTAGAAATTTTTCCGCCAAATCATTCATGATAAGGACACTTCCGTAGAAGGTCCTTGAATCTCTCCCATGCATCCGATACCGCTTCATCTTCTTCTTGACGAAACGTCATAATTTCATTTCTAATTTTTACATTCCTCGTCGAAGGAAAGTATTTTTTTAGAAATTTTTCCGCCAAATCATTCCAAGTAGGGACCGAGTTTGGTGGTTGAGAATTTAGCCATGCTCTAGCTCTTTTCCTTTAATGTGTAAAGGAAAAGTGTTAAGCGTAAGGCTTCTTGTGTAACTCCGGGAATTTTAAAATGATCCGTCATTTCTATAAAAGATTTCAAATGAGARTGCGGATCTTCCGAAGATAATCCCCCAAACTGACCCATTGCGGAAATCATTTGAAACATTACTGGCTTGGGTTCAAAAGATGTTGCTGTCATTTTGGGCCTACCAATTCCCGAGGCCAATTGACTAAATTTGAGCGTTGTGTAGTCCCGTATGCCTTTATTTTTGTCATCGACAATTTTAACCGTGGCTTCCCACTGAGGTGGATTATCCCCCATGGTACGGTTTAAAGTGGGATTTCGCCGATTGTTTCAACCTCTTCTACGTCTCCTAACAGTTCTTTCTAACTCAAGATCAAGAGGTAAAAGCTCACCGTGTTGTAGTCATGGCATACAACACAAGAACAACGAATGAAACAAATGACCAAGGCTCAAATGAAAATCAATATCTCAGGATAAAAATCATGCTAGTTCCCGACAACGGCGCCAAAAACTTGATATGCTAGAATCGTAAGTGTTCACACAGTGGGCACAAAGTCCCGACAGTGGCGATACAAGTGCACGCCGACACTATGATCGCTTCAAGTAATAAAGTGGTATAGTACAAAGATCGTTTCCGTAGGGACTGGACTTACTGAGAATTAGAGAGTTTCATGAACTTCTTGACCATGTTTTGGTTTGTGAATAAAAGTCGAGTTTTGTTGGTGCAAAGCTTAAAAATACGAAATAAACCTTTTGAAATTAAAAGATAGGTATGGGTGTAAGTTTCCCTTAAGAAGATTGTAGAAACAATTTGGTCAGAAACTCATGGGACTTCTATAAAAACTCCAATCTCTCGAAAGTGAATTCTTATATTCTGTGCCCACAGAGTGCCCACAAAGCGTCCAATTTTATCAATTTTAAACTTGCCGAATTAGCTAATAGATAAAAAGATATCTGGTTCCACTAGCCTGAAGATTTATACTCAAATCTCTTTGTAGTATAAACTCGACTAATATCTGAACATTAGCTAAAAACATGCAGAATCCATATCTCTATGTGATTATCAAAGACTCTCTCAAATCTTTGTGCATCATTTAAGCTGTATTTCAGATCCGCCCATCTCTGGATCAAGGATCTAATATTAACACTTCAAAGTGATCATCTTATCTGCGTTGAGCTTAAGTCCCGACTTAAATGACTAAGCTTAAAAATTAATAAAATTGGCAACACCCAAGTGTGCCTTCAAATTTTTAAGTTTGACTCACACCCACACCCAAAAGGGTGATTAGCTCATAATAAAATTATAAAACATAGAGGAAATAGAAGAAGAAAAATGCATAAGAAATATTTGAATGWAATTTTACTTAAATTGTTGCCCACAGGGGGCATACAATGCACAGTAACRAGAATTAAAAACTAAATACGAAAATAAAATTAAATGCAGAAAACTAAACTTGTTCTATTGCTCTAGAACTTCAGTTGAGAGTGAATGCTCCAAGGTTGCTTGGTTGATTCGTTGATGTCTTCCAAATGAGAGAAAACTTCAATATATAGGGRRAAAAARGTGAGAACCGGACAATCTCTACGCCCAAGGGAAGAAAGTCTTCTTGACTAGAGGGTAAAGACCCCCCATCACTTMTTGTCTACTTTTCTGGCCTTGTCACCTTTTTTGAAAGGATGAAAAAGATAAAGTTACCTAACCCTTAAAATAAGGAAAAGGTAAGGAAGGTTTTTTCATTAAAATAATGGTAGGGTTACTTTAAGACATTTTTTAATTCAACAAGACTCATTCCTCCAAATAATTCAAGAATTTCGGATYTGACTTCAGAATTAAATCCCTTTAATACCCAAGAGAGCCAGTATTTAAATTTTGTCCAAATCCRTCTTGAGGAAAATATGCAGTAGGAAGAATGTGGGCAGAAAGTGAGCATTTTACCAACAGCAATGGTTTTTCAGAAAATAATCAAATTMTTGACCTTTCATCACCTCTTAAAATATTTTGGACCAAAAATACAGGATATGAGCAAAATGGGTACATAATACACAATAAAATGGGAGTATTGAACAATAAATAACTCTCACAAAATGAGAGTTATCAATTACGCATAAGTACAACTTATTAAAACTCCATGTTTAAATTCGTATAACTAACTGTAGATAAACATAATCAATTAGAGGATAAACATCTTATTTTAAAATATAATTAGGATAATTATCGAGTTCTAACAAAATAATTAATTTTTATTTTTATAAGAAAATTATATTATTAAACAAAATATAAATTACTTCGTTATTGAACCTAAATT